AGAGGAGAAGGGATCACCGGCATGGCCACTGCCCCTGTGGGGTGCTTTCTCACTTTCCCTTTTTCTCTCCGTCTCTTTGGCAAGGACACATGCCCTATAGCAAAAACTATAAAAAAAAGAAAGGTAATTTCTCATAATGAAATAATTCAAACATGAAGAACATACATAAAAAATTTCTACTTATCTCCATTTACAGATGGTGACATTTTCCCGTATTTCATATAATCAATTTTAAAAAGTAAAAACATAGATATTTCTGAAGTTCCTCTTATTCATCATTCCTTCCAGCGTAGCTTTGTCCTGAAATTGGCATTATTTCCATGCATCTTAAAAAAAAGCTTTTTTAAAAAATGTGCATACTTGATTTATATCAACCTATACTATACACATCTTTTTTGTAATATCCTTTTGTCACCATTATTCTTGGTATTTATCTATGTTGATAGATATAAATTCAGTTCCTCACTTTACCTCTGAGTAGTAATATTCCATTGTGTGAGATTATGGTTTCTTTCTTTTCCTACTAATGTGCAATAAGACTTTTCTCAATTTTTTCCCACACAATGTTGGAATGAACATTCTTGTCATGTATCCTTTTCTGCACATTTGACTTTCTCTAGGGCAGTTTTTAATTTTTATCTTAAAATTTTTATTCTTTTTAATTGCCAGAGGGAGTGTGCATGCACTAGAGGTAGCCTCAGAAAAAGAAGGAGAAAGCACACCCCCAGAGGGGAGTGGTCACACAATCCCTTCTCCTCTCCATCCTGTTGGGGTTTGGGTATGCGTGCACACATGCTGGACGTGTTTTTCAAGCCACTGGGGTCAAGAGTCCTACTGCCCTTGGCTCTGTGGTATCCAGCTATTTTACCCAAAAGGCTGTGGGGCCAGTCCTAGAGTATAGTTCTAACTTTTTTGTGCCATATACATTTTTTTTTGGAGAGAGATTTTGCTATAGGGTGCATGCACTTGCCAGAGAGACAGAGACAGAGAGACAGAAGGCTAGAAATCACCCCCTCCCCCCTGCCGCCAGGTGGGATGGCCATGTCACAATCCCTTCTCCATTCTTCTCTCGGGATTTTGGCATGCACACACATGCACCTGGCATGAGTTTTAAGCCGTTGGCTCTGGGACTCAAACTGCAGTCGAATCCATGAGAGATCAGCGACATAACCATGATGCCATCTGCTGGTCCCAGCCATATATATTTTTGACATTCAGGTGAATCTTATGGAGCCCTTGTCAAAATAATGCTTATAGATGCATAAAATGTAGAAAAGGAATTATTTGAAAATTAATATTTAAATTCATAAATATATTTACAAATTAAACATTTTAAAATTATAATATGAAAATTTTAACATTTGATAGTACCTATCAAAGTATTAAATGATCAAACTATGAAAAAAACCAACCTTTATGATATAATAATACACATGCTTATAAAATCAAGCATCAAATTTACTATTGTAATTTTGAAATAGTACTGAGTATAAATATTGGGTAATCGAAAGTCATGATATATTTTTCTTTTCTTTTAATAAAAACAATCCCACAGCATTTATTGCCAACTAGTAATAACGTAAGGGTAATCAAAACAATATGAACAAATTTTTAGAACTATACTCTCCACGAAGGGAACAAACTACTCTTCTCAGCAAGTTCTCACTTCCTTTATCATTTCTAGTAGGAGACACTTTGCAGCAGAGTTATAGCATCTCCTATTAACATGATCCAACCCAGTTGTTTTTCTTGACTTTGTTTTAGAATGATTCTCCTCTGCATCATCTAATACAAGGTTCATATACTCGTCCAAACCAACGATACAACCTTCTATCCGCATATTTACTTGCTCATAGAGCCACAGCTGAATCCGGGATCTATTTTGCAAGTATCTGAAGATGAGGTTGATGGGCTGCGCCATCACCTTCTGCACTTTCTGGCCCTGGCCTCGGTATGCCATGGTGGAATCCCATGATATATTTTTCTATGCAAAAATGTGTCATGTGTCCTGACTTTTCTGATGACCCAATAGTGTTTCAGATATTTATAATATCAGTAACGTAACTACTGAGATAATCACAGGTACTTTTATAATAGTTTTATTTTGTTGCGTATGCTCACAGTTTAGGGGATTTCTATTTTTTTTTTTTTTTGGAGAGGTTTTTGCTGTAGGGCGCATGCACTTGCCAGAAAGACAGAGAGAGACAGAGACAGAAAGCAAGAAATGGTCACGCCATAATCCCTTCTTCATTCTCCTCTTGGGATCTTGGGCACACACGTACATGTGCCCAGTGTGAGTTTTAAGCCACCAGGTCCTGAACGTGAACCGCCATCAACTACATGGGAGTCCAGCGACATAGCCATTACGCCAACTGCTGGTCCCAGGATTTCTAAATTTCAATGAGGGGTTAATAATTTTTCTTTCCCATCTAATTTCACAAATTTTACCATCTGCCCACCTATTGGAAGTCCACATTTTATAACTGAAATAATTTTAGCAAATTATCTTCATTTCCAACTGCATTAAAATATCGACATTTTTTGCTGAGTATATTCCTGATACCATGTTAAAATTTTATACATATTAATATCTCTTATAATCTTCACAATTCCAACAGAGATACTATTTTTAAAAAAGATTATTTAATTTTATTTATTCATTCATTCATTCATTTTAATTTGATCAGACAGAGAGAGAGAGGGAAAGTGAGAAAACAAGCCACCAGGTCTGGGACTCAAACTGTGGTCAGCCATGTGGAGTATCCAGTGCCTTAACCATCATGTCACCTGCTGGCCCCTAGTGATAGTATTTTTATGTCAATTTTACAGATACGGAAGCTGAAGCTTGGGAAGGTAAAGTAACTTGCTCTTGGGTCACTTGTGATCCACAGAGCAGGATTCAAATCCTGGTTGGCCAACTTCAAAACCAGGTTCTTTTAAATCCAGGTTATCACCATACTGTAGAATTCATATTTCTACAGTTTAAAGGAATCAAGATTTACATTATCATAGAGTAACTTCCAGTTACTGAACAAGATAAAGTAATTGTCACGTGTTACTTAAGGTCATAGGGAAAATCAATTCAATATTGAAATACTGGATTGTCTGGAAAATCACAATGCATGTTTCTATGCAAAAATGCATTATGGGGACCAGCAGTTAGCGTAATGGCTATGTCGCTGGACTCCTATGTAGTCGACCGCGGTTCGAGTCCTGGAACCAGTGGCTTAAACTCACGCCGGGTGTGTGTGCGTGCACGCCCAAGATCATGAGAGGAGAATGGAGAAGGGATTGCAGCGTGGCCATCCCCCCCTGGGGGGTGATTTCTCGCTTTCTGTCTCTCTGTCTCTGTCTGTCTGGCAAGCGCACGCGCCCTATAGTAAAAACCTCTCCAAAAAAAGAAAACAAAAAAAAAAATGCATTATGACTTTCCTGACAACCAATACATATGGACTTTATAAGCTACATAGCAAGGAAGAAGTCATGAGGTGTAGGGGACAATGTGAAATACAGTTCTGGTCTAAATCAAATGTCTTCAAAGCTCCATCAGATAACTTACGTAAAGGATAAAAAGTTTTTACCTTATGGAGGCTGCGAATTATATAAATGACCAGCTTTATCTTTTTTCTTTTTTTCTTGTAGCAGAATATCTAGGATCAAACATATTGTCTATCTGCTGTAACACTCCAGATGCTAATGCTATACATGTGTGTATATATGAATAGTATGTTTACATGTGCATGTACAGCCTTATTCATTGTGCTATTTATACCCATATTTTCTTCCTTGATGTCTTGTTTGTAATTCCATCATCTCATTGTAGTTCATGTACCCTGTAAGCTGTGGCATTGTATTTACATACATACATACAGTAAACTGATAGGCAGAATTCCAAGACAGTCCTCAATATCCCCATCCTCTAGCATACACACATTTTCAGTTATCTAATCAAAAATGAATCTAGGGACCAGCAGTTAGTGTAATGGCTATGTTATTGAACTCTCATATAGCTAACCGCGGTTTGAGTCTCGTACCCGGTGGCTTAAACTCACCACGGGCGTGTGTGCATGTGTGCTTGCCCAAGATCCCGAGAGGAGAATGGAGGAGAAGGGATTGTGGCATGGCCATCCCCCTTGGGGGATGATTTCTCGCTTTCTGTCTCTCTGTCTTTCTGGTGAGCGCACGTGCCCTATAGCAAAAACCTCTCCAAAAAAAAAAAAAAAAGAATCTAGTCACTTCTTTGAAAGGATTTAACAGATGTAATTAAGGTTTCAAAGTAGGTGACTTTAACAAAGGGAGAGTATTTGGGTGGGCTTGAACTAAAAGGGACTAGGCCATAATGAGAGTATCACAACATGAGGAGATTCTAACTGCTGTCTTTGAAGATGGAGGGATTACCTGACAAGGAATTCAGGTGACCATCAGGAGCTGAGAGTTGTTCCTGGCTGAGAGACTAAAGGAGACCTGTCCTGTATCTGCAGTAAACTGAATTTTGTCATAATTTAGCTTTGAAGATGATGTTGAGCTCTAGATGGGAATGCAACTCAGCTGACACAGTGACTTTTTTTTTTTTTTTTTTGAGATTTTTGCTACAGGGTGCATGTGCTTACTGGAGCAATGGAGAGAAAGTGAGAAATCATCCCCTGGGGTGGGGGGGATGGTCATGCTGCAATCCCTTCTCTGCCATTGTTCTCTAGGGATTTTAGGCACACATGCATATGAGCCTGGCATGAGTTTTGAGCAACCAGGTCCAGGTCTTGACCCATGGTCAGCTATGTGGGAGTCCAGTGTCTTAACCACTGTGCCACCTGTTGGTCCCCTGATACAATGATTTTAACTATATATATTAGAGAACTCAGCCACATCATGCATAAACCTCTTATCCACATAACTGTGAGTGATATATGAGTGATGTCTGAGGTCTAAGTTTGTGCTAACTTATTACAGCAGCAACAGAAAACTAAAACAATGGAATATTTTGCTTCACAAACTTGCAACTATTATTCGTTAAATATTTATTGATGTGAAATCCATATTACACCAGCACAACAATCCAAAGTAGCATGATAGTACTTTTTTTTTTTTAATATAAATACAACATAAAAGGAGGCAAAATAATGCTAGTTAACCCCAAACCCAGCAAATGAGCAGGTCACATTCAGAAAAATTTGGCAAGTAATGTATGACATAAGTCATCATTCTACAACCTAGGTCTATGAGAGACTTTGTATGGGATCTTAAACTCCGTATGAGCAACGCATGTAAGTATGGTCCAAGAAATTTGTACCACACTACATAGAGTATCTGCCACCCGGTGCTTGAGCCTGTTAATCACTTAAAACTTGGTTGGTTGGTGTTATTACAAAGTAGAAAGCTGTACACGTGAAGCAGTAATATGAAATATATGGGGTGGTACACAGATATAAAATTATTTAAAAAATACTACATATGAATTGAGTAACTGAGCTAAGAGAGTTCAACACTTTTATTATAAATAATGAAAGATACATGTGTTTTGCATAAGGAACACAGTGTTTTCTTTTTATAGCAAAGTACCATTAAAGCCTCATGTTTTATACTATCTGGCCAAATTATTTTTTCTCCTTTTCAGAATTTATTGGTTCCGACTTAAAACCATCAAGTCTGGTCAGAATGAACTCAGTCTAGCCGAGGCAGAATCACATGCATTCCACAAGAAGTCTCTGCTGAGATGCCTTTAAACCTGCTTGGAACCCAGCACCTTTTTAAGGTAAGGTTTCATGACAGCAGGGAAGTAAACGCACGATTTCCATTCACCGTATCTTGACGTCATTGAAAATAATATGTTACAAACTTGTTTCTGTTGCTCAAGTCTCCATTTCCCTCCAGCAGACTAGATCCTACAGGCAATTTCTCACTTAGGCCACTCTTGCAGTCTCAATCCATTTTCAACTTGCTCTACACATCTAAAATCTTCAACTGCAACACAAACTCCAGATACACTGAAATCCCCATAGCACATGTGCTCCAAACCGCCAGCTGACTCGACTTGTGGATGGCAGTGTTGTTAGTTCTTTTTCTAAACCTATTTTGAAAAATTAATTTTGAAGAAAACCAAAGAAAAGCCTGGCCTTTGTCACCTCTCCTGCTCTTCCTATTTCTATCTAAACTTCTTTCCTCCCAATACTACCTGGTGTGGTCATTTAGGTGGTTTAGACAAAAGTGTGGAATGAATTGTAACATATTTCTGCTTTATTTCCAATATTTTCTATGATTTAAATTAGCCTCTTAATATGGTTTGTAAATAAGCCTTCTACCAAGGTTGGAGGGGGGGGAAAAAAAAACAGAAAAAAAACTACACATAAAAAGAAGAAAGTTAAGAACCAAGGTATTAACCTTGTTAGAAAACTCTGGATATGAATAAAATTTAAGGCAAGGAGTTCCTTCCTGATGGTTTCACAGAAAGCAGCTAGCAAAGACAAGGCATTTACTTAGATTTCTTTGTCGTTCCCTCTTCCTTTTCCCGCCTTCCCTATTGCACTTGGTTCACCGTCGCTGTCTGTACACACTGCTGAGTATAGTGTATTCATGGTACAATTGCCTTATGCTAAACATCTCACACTATGTAGCACCTATAGCCTGTGTTTAAAGGCACTTGTAGATAATACAAATGGTGATTACCTTTGAACAACTAACTGATTCTTAGCATTTTGACATTTCAGACCACTTTAATGACAGCAATTCTGAAAGTTTTTCAACTGGACAGTAAATGTGAATTTTCTGTGCAATGTGTATATTTTTATTAGCATCACCTAAGCTCTAAGTTTGGTATATCAAATAAGAAAAAAAAATATTATTTTGGTGTTTAAAAAATTTTGTTTTTCTAGTCAAAAGGATGTTTCTGCCTTTTACATAATGCGACAAAAGGAATATGCTGGTCAAGGCAATGGCTGTTTCAGTGTTTCCGTTTTAACAAGAACGTCGGATTACAGGTCTTCACTCTCTACCAAGCCGGCATTCAGTGTCAGGTGAGATGGGCTGGCTTCAGGCTGGAACGCTGCTTTGATGTCGAGTCCCTGGTCCGACAGTGCTGCATAGCGACTGGCCGAGGGCCGTACTTTTTTTGGCTTGGTGCTCTGTGGCTGCTGGTGCCACTGGGCTACAAAGAAAAAAAAAGGAAGTTAAGATTTTTAACGAAGGTAGACTTGGAAAACCCTGAGATGTTTCAAGTAAACACAGAATTTATTTTTTGCTATATATCAAGCACATATTCTTTGTGAATGACTGAGTACATCCATGGTAGAACATGGAAAATGTAGGCTTTTTTTGCATTTTACTCAGGTATCGATTTACTCTCTATAAAGGGTATTGGGACAATAACAGCTAGATAACAAAGACCAAGAGAAATTGTTTTTTTTTTTTTTTAGGGTTTTAGGTTTTTGCCATAGGGTGCATGCACTTGCTAGAGAGAAACAGAGAGAGGGAAAGTGAGAAATCACCCCCCTAGGGGCGATGGCTACACCATAATCCCATCTCCTCTATTCTCCTCTTGAGATTTTGGGCACACATGCACATGTGCCTGGTGTGACTTTCAAGCCAGTGGGTCCAGGACTCAAACTTTAGCTGGCTATGTGGGAGTCCAGAGCCTTAACCACCATGCCAACTGCTTGTCCCAAGAATAAGTGTTTTCTTTTGGTGAGAGATTTTTACTATAGGGAGTGTACACTTGCTGGAGAGAAAGAAAGAGAGAAAGTGAAAAATCCCTCCAGGAGGGATGGCCATGCTGCAATCCCTTCTCCTCCACTCTTCTCTCAGGATTCTGGGTATGCATGCACATGTGCCCAGCATGAGTTTCAAGCTGCCGGGTCCAGGACTCGAGTCACTATCAGTCACGTGCAGCTCCTTAACCACTATACCACCTGCTGGCCCCAAGAGTAGTTTATTTTAAAGTAATACAGCAGTATAGTGACTCTTTCAAAATGCTCGATAGGTTCCTAGTCCTTACCCTTTTTCAGTTTTGTAAATATATATATATATGTATATATATATCCAATAAGTAGAAAAGTTAAGACTTCTGGATGGATGTTTTAACACAAGTCAGTTAAAAGTAATTGGGCAGTAGAGAAAGTTGAGGCCACTCATTTCACAAAGAGCCCAACAAAGTTATTTCTCTTTTTGAGAAGAGGTAAATTCGAAACCAGTTCTTAATTTGTTTTTTCTACTGACTTTATGTCAATGGATTACATAATGCTGTCATACTGTTGGGTTGTTGAAAAAGTCATGATGTAGTTCTCTATGCAAAAATGTGTCATGACTTTGCCGATAACCCACTAGTTTGTAAATTCCATAGGAACAATTTTCTTTAAATTTTGGATGCATGGACACAAATACACACACATACACACACACTCACTAGTCTATTGCTGAGCTGCTTCAGATGTATTAATGAGGAAAGCGCTAAGCCACAGAGAGATGCATTCCAGGATCAATGGACACACGTTCAGAGTGCATTAGGACACTGTGATAGGATTACGATCGGGATTATAACGAGGAAGAAATGTTAAAAGGCACTCACTTGCAGAACACAGTAACAAGAAAATGTGAAGAACATGTGGTTAGGCCTTTGCCTTCTGTTAATTCCTAAAGATGCTTAACTTAAGGAAGCCATAACTGCCTAGCCATTGTACAAGAAATCACATGCATATTTTGCTAATAATTCAAAGTTCCTGAGTGATACTTGGGTATTTGTTCTCCTGGTGTGGTTCACTATTTATGTCGAGAAACTATAAATAGAAAGAGAGAGAGCAATATGAATTTTTTTGGCAAATAAAACACCACAGTTGATTGTCAGATTATATCAAAGCAATGCTGATTGCTGTCCAGATGTCCAACCGTCCATAGTTTTGTGAGTCGATGTGACGCAAAGAGATGAAGTGGCACTCACTGTAAACGTCCAGCCTGGCAGTACAGGACACGATCCCTGCTTCGTTCTTGGCTGACACTGTGTACCACCCAGCATCTTCCTTAGTGGCTCCCTGAATGAGCAGGCAGATGTAGCCATGATTGTCCTGGTGCATGCTGGAAAGGAAGATAAAGTCATTAGGGGTCTACATTTCTAACAAGCGGCTTTAGACACAAAGCGGCATTTTTAATGAGATCATTAGAAACAGAATGGTGCACGTCGCAGCTAATAGGGTCATACTTATTCTGGAGAGGCTGCTAGCCCCATTAAAGTTAATGGGAGAGAAGATCAGACGTCAAGAGGTTGAATAAATCTGTGCACTTAATTCCTTGTCGAGAGTCTGCCTTTACAAAAATCTCTGAATAGTCTGTCACCATTGAAGCAAATGAACTTACCTTTTCTTTTGGAAATAAATACTTTAAAAAAATCAGTAGATTAGTTCAGAATACGCCTCATTCACATACCATTAAGGCGTCCCTTCAAGACCTTAATCCTACCTAGGGTACAGAGTGATTTTTGCCTTTGATGCAGTCAAGAACATGGCTTTCACACATATATGGATTTATGTGCTATATGAAGCGTATCTTTTCTGACACCCTCTGGACCGAGCAGTGATGAATAGGTTAAGTCACTGTGTAGTCTTACCTCACTCGGTCAGTGCTGTGAGTGAGTGATTCGTTTTCCTTCTTCCAAAATATCTGAGGCGGTGGCACTCCTGCAACACGGCATTCCAACCTTACTGGGTACCCGTCAGCAACTCCTGTGTTCTGCAGCTTCTCAATAAACACGGGGGGTTTGTGTGCTTCCTTAGCTAAGAAAACATGAGATGAATTTATCCATCCATGACACACAAAAGGAGCACTACAAAGAAGTCAGAAGCCTTTAGAATCAATGCCTGAATAGATCTTTTATTCTGTAATGCCATTTGTCACTTCAGGTGGTAAGATGCTAGTCCTGTCTCCAAATTAGTCTTTTACCAAGCAGAGGTTCATATGCTTCATTCCACTCATTTATTTTTCTCAATTAATTCAAGTCTGATGGGCCCACACAGTCCACTGGCCATCTGCTCCACAGAATGCCTGTCAGACAGGCTGCGGGGGACTCCTAAGTCGTTGCTAACACGGCTTCACTGCTAATTATGTCACGATTCACTCACAGCCTTTACCAACCACTGCCACCTGGTGACACTGAGAGGGACAAGTGCTTCTAGGAACTTGATCCACTTAGATACCCTCGCTGCTGTCTGAACCCCTGGCTCTGAAGAACCCTGAAGATTTGGAACTCTTGGTTTAAATGACACGTTCCAAAAAGCTTAAAGGAGAAAACAAAGGGGAGACATCTTTATGTAAATTTGGCAGCTTTAAGTGGTTTCCTATGAACTAGGACTGTATATCCTATACATTATAAATTTGTTTGTATTTTTCAAAGGAGACTATAAACAGACAACTTTATTATTACCTTGAAAGAAGGAAGTCATAAATAAAAGATACCTTTATTACATGTCTGAACAAGCTAGAACTGATTGTTAATAATGCTCTGAATGTTACCATTCAATGGGCAAACTGGTTTCTTGGATCAGTGGTGGAAACCACTTCAGAGGATTAGGGTTTATTTTCTTCTGAGGCACCAACAGTGAATTTAAGGATGCAGGCCTTTACCACCACCCCCTCGTTGGGAACGACAAACGTGGTACTGAAAAGTAGCTAGGAAAGAATCCAAAGATGATAGACATTCTACCTGAAATTTCCAAGGGTCTAAGAATCTTGAAGGCCTTGAGTCACATAGAGGGTTGTAATTTTATTGGATTTTATGTGGTTATTGGATGTAGGGTATTCTGGGAGAAGTGGGAACCACAGCTTATTTCAAATTCTTTCTGGACCCATCTCGAAAAGAACATAAAATGTGTAAAATCCTTAACGTCATAGCAACTCACCAGTACAATTAACAGTGACCATTTGGAGCCTTGCTATGTAGGGTACTGGATATGCATAGCTCAATACCCATTTTTTTGTTTTTGTTTTATTGTTTAGAGAGAGATTTTTGTTATAGGGTGCATGTGCTTGCTAGAGAGACAGAAAGTGAGAAGTCGTTCCCCAGGGAGGATGGCCACGCCACAACCCCTTTTCCTCCATTCTTCTCTCAGGATTTTGGGCATGCATGCACACACACCCGGTGGGAATTTTAAGCTGCCAGATCCAGGACTCGAACTGCAGTGGACTATGTAGGAGTCCAGCAAGGTAACCATTATGCCATCTGTTGGACCCAATTTTTTGTTTGTTTTAAGATGGGGTCTCACCATGTCATGGTCCTCTTGTTTATATGTACACATTTTAAGATTTAATCCTTATAAAAACTCTATGAGGCATTGTGGTCCCCATTTTACATATGGAGAAACTGAGATAACCCTGGAAAAGTCAGAGGTTTGCTCTGATTATTTCTTAGGGCTTGTGTGAGGGCCAAACAGGAGGCACTTTGTATTAAAAAATGAACATTCCATTTTGTTATGTTTATTTTTAAAAAAGAGATGAGGTAATCAGCATCTTTATTTTTGTCTAATTCCTAAAGATGGTATAAACCTTTTCATAAATGCATTTTCCTTTTTGGGCATCTCAAGAAGTAAAACTTCATATAATACTTTTACCAAATTTATCCACAGTATACTCAATTAAAAAGCAAAATCTGGGTTTAATTGGACTATGATATTAGATGACAATGTTGTTTAAAACTTTTGAAGTTTGAAATCATTGCACAATATGTTAAAAACTAGATATTGTTTTTTTTTAACAATACCTAGTTTAAAAAACAGTGCATGTAGAAGTATATGTGTAAGAAAATTCTTTGGTTCTTGGAGTCCTATTACCCTTCCCTATGTAAGCAATGATCCAGGCAGAAAAGCTGCTAAAGCCTTCCCTCTCTTAGCCAGGTTGGTGAGAAAAAGAAAAAAATAATAATGGCTGCACTGAAGTATGAAAAATTAATGTTTCTAATTTGCCAGGGCTTACAACATGCCTTTAATGGCCATCTTGATGATAAAATCTATTTTTTCAGAAGTTAGATTAATTTTCCATGTTGGGTAATAATGGAGGATTAGTTTACATTCGTAAAGCCTGATGCTCCCTCTGGCAGAGAGAAAGGATTCCCAGAGCCTACCAGCAACCACGAGCTCCAGGCTGAAGGAGTTCTGTCCTGCTCTGTTGGTGGCTATACACGTGTAGATGCCAGCATCTCGTGATGTGACAGGCTCTATGATCAGAGAGTGCACTCCGTTCTCACGCACGAGCATCTTGTGAGCACTGTCAGGGCGTATGGGCTTTCCATCTAGTTGCCAGCTTAGGTCTGGAGTTGGGAGTCCGCTGACCTAAACCAGAATGGAAATGAAAATAAACATCGCTCATGTTGAAACAGTGAACTCAATGACAGCTAGAGAACCAGTGTAAATCCCTTCTTCAGTAGTATAAGAGAAGGTGTAAGAGGACCAGCTCTTGTTACTCTTGTGCTTAAAGCCTTCCAATGGCTTCCCAAGCACTCAAGGCTCACTTCTAAATATCTCTTACAGAGCAACCTAGAGACACGTGAAATAGGGATTAAAAATATCCACTGCCACAGCTATAAACATTACTGGGATGATATCAGAACAGGGCCCTCAGCTCTGGCAGAGAGAAAGGATTGTTTAGAGAGAGATTTTTGCTATAGTGTGCATGCGCTCGCTAGAGAATGTGCTCTGGAAAAATGACGTCCACCAGAACAACAATACTAATACTCAGCTGGCCTTTGTAGAGCATAAAGCTTCTCAAGGAGTGGCCATAGCTGTGGAGACATTTAGTTAATGCATCCATCAGCACCTGGGATGATTAATATTTTATAATCCCTGAAACTGAGAAACAAATTACTGAGAAAGCCATCATGACAAATTAGCATCACAATGGAAACTTATAAAATCTTGAGACTTTGACAGCTGCGCAGACCAGAGATCAGATAAAAAGATCACATTTAATTTCTGATAATACATTGTGCTACAAAGGGTCAAGAGGTTTACCATCTGCCAGTTTCTTACAGTTTTGACCTTGATTTGGAGTGGGATAGCACTGTTAAGGGTGGCCTTTTTATCCCCCCTTCCCTCTACTTTACAAGTGAGAAATTATATTCAAAAATATGTCAGTAAAACAATTTTTTTGAAGAACAAATTTTGCTAAAATCAGCTAGAAAATGCACAAATTCCATTCCTGATATGTGATGTTAATTTACACTACCTATAGGATGCTTCCTTTCATACACGTAGCAAAAATTTAGAGACTTAAAGAAAAAAACAATCAAGTAAATGTAAATCACTGGTTAAAAGGATGAAGTGATTTTGGAAACATAGTTAGGCAGCTTGGCTGTGAGAGGACCATGCTCTGTTGGCCCATCTGTGCACCTGCTGCCCAGCTCCCCATAAACATGCTTCTCCTGGCTGGGGGTCACTAGAAGTGGGCGGAGGAAGAGGAGGTAGACAGTTCTGGTCAGGCTCCTGGCCTTTCCCAGAGTTAGAAATAAAGTGGCACTGTGTGTTCCCACCTTACTAGTTAGACTCTGGACAAGCAGGCCATCTACTGACCGAAGCCACTGCCTGTGTACTTGAGCGACATAACCGAAGCACCGGCCACGCTCAAAACACCTAATTCTCAGTGGACAGTTACTTTTTTTAAGGCAAAGGACCAGACCCTGCCCCTCTACCCTTTTTCTGACTCTAGTCCTCCTGACTGAATGAATAAATGAAGCGAAACTTTAGGTCAAGTTTGAACAGATCTGTGCTTGCAGTGCACGTGGAAATGGAGAGAGGAGAGCATGCTCATTACTAGAGGAGTAAGAATAGTTATTTCCCCTAAGATTCAGTACCAAGTCAAGGAGAGTCAGTGTCTAGGAATGTACTTCAGAGATTTAAAAGGGAGAGGGGGGTTGGGAGAAAAGTAAGTGGTTGCTTTAGTGTTTGGCTCACTTTCGAGATACTTTTTCCTTCTCAAAGCTGAAATACACTGACAATTGTTTTTTTCTAAGTGGGTAACACTCCATCTGCTTATGTGGCAATATTTTTCACAGCATTTTCTTTCTTTCTTCTTTTTTTTTTTTTTTAAGAGTTTTTTGCATTATGGCACATGCGCTTGATGGAGAGAAACAGAAAGGGAGACAGTGAGAGGGAAAGTGAGAAATCACCCTCTAGGGGTATGCCACACTGCAATCCCTTCTCCTCCATTTTCTTCCTGGAATCTTGGGCACACACGTGCGCACACACGCACGCGCACACACACGCACACACACACACATACCCAACATGAGTTTCAAGCCACTGGGTCTGGAACTTGAACCATGGTCCATCATGTGGGAACCCAGCGACATAAGTGCTATGCCATTTGCTAGCCTCAGTACATTTTCTTTATTCAGGTTAGATCATCATAGTGAAATCAACAAGTAGAGATTATTTTTTATTTCTAAAATTCTTAAAAGGTAGGGAAGGACTTTTATGGATAGTTATGCCAATATCCAGTGGACAAAAGTACTATGATTTCTTCCTTAAATATGATAAAAAAAAATAGAGATAACAGTATAATGAATCTCTGTACACTCATCATTTAGATCCACTCTCTTGCCATTTTGTGTATTTTAAAATAAATCCCAAACTTCATGTAATTTTACCTCTGAATAGCTCAGCACATGTTGCTAAAAATATAAATTGTCCTTACATAATCACAATTCTGTTTTTGCACTAAAATGAAAACCTTCATATCATTTAATAACCTGTTTAAAACAAAAGTTCAAAATTCAATTTTCAGTTGACCCAAAACATTCTCTTAAAGTGTTCTGTATAAATTTTTATTTTTTAATAATTTTTTAGAGAGATTTTTGCTATGGGGTATGTGTGTTTACCAGAGAGACAGGGAGAGAGAGAGACAGAAAGTGAGAACTCACTCCCCTGGGGGGACAGCCACACAGCAATCCCTTCTCTTCCATTCTCCTCTTGGGATTTTGGGCATGCACATACATGTGCCCAATGTGAGTTTTAAGCTGTCAGGTCCAGGACTTGAACTGTGGTTGACTACATGGGAGTCCAGCAACATAACCATTACACCATCTGCTGGTCTCATAAATTCTTTTTTTTAAACATTCCATTTATTTTTTAAAAAGATTATTTTATTTAAACTGACAAATGAAAATTGTATATACTTCTCATGTACTACATATTTGGAAATATATTTACATTTTGGAATAGCTAAATTGAGCTAATTAACATATACATCACCTCACATACTTATTTTGTTATGAGGACACTTAGAAAAAAACCTATGCTCTTAGCAGTTTTCAGGTATGTGATACATTGCTATTCACTATAGTCACCACATTGTACAATAGATCTCTGGAACTTATTCCATCTCTCTAACTGAAATTTTATACCTTTATACATCTCAACACGCCACCCATGAGAACCTGCTAACTACCGTTCTATACTTTGTTTCTGTAAGTTCAGCATTTTTAGAGTCTACATGTAAGTGTAAGTCCACATCTGTATTCCCAATGGATTGCATTTCCTTTAAATCTGTAACCAGTAATGGGATTCCTAGCTTACATGGTAGATCTGTATAAATGCTTAATATAGATAGCAATGTTGCAAATACACACACGTAAATATACACACACTCGTACTTGATTTGTGTATTTATACTACAAAATAATTATGTTGGAAAATAAGATATTTTTAAAGAGTAATTTTATTCTTTCTATGTAATTCTATAAGCCCTGATTTACTTCTTGCAAAAACAAATTATGCCAAATTCGTCTAAGAAGCTCATATAGGTGTTCTGCATTCCTAGACAGAACCAGCAGAGGGAGCCCAAATAACTTTTAAAAACTTATCCATGTTCAAGAGCTACATTTTAAAATCAGATAGCAGTGGGGCAAATACAAAACAAAAAAACTTCAGAGCCATGATTCTTAAACATTTTTGGCTTTGAGCTCCTTTGAGAAATGGGTGAAATTTACACACACAATTTGTATGTAATTTCAGAGTTTACACACCTAATGAGTAAGAAACCTGTCTACCTAAAGACCCTGGGTTAAGAAGTCCTGCTGCAAAAACAGGTGAAAGAAGGATATCCCTCTGACTTCTCTTAAAATTAAAAAATGGGAGGAACAGGGACCAGCAGATGGCATAGTGGTTACGTCACTGAACTCCTGTATGGCTGACCACAATTCAAGTCCCAGTTCTGGTGGTTTCAAAATCACACCAGGCTTGTGTGTGTGCATACCCAAGGTCCTGGGAGGAGAGTGGAGAAGGGGTTGTGGCACAGCCATCCCTCCAGGGAATGGATTCTTGCTTTCTATCTCTCTGTCTCTCTCTCTGATTCTCTGGTGAATGCATGTGCCCTATAGCAAAACAAATCTCTCTCTGAAAGAAAAAAAAAATGGGAAGAATAAAAGTCAGAGTAGATACATGGATACAAATGTGTGTGAAAAAGGATAAAGAGCAAATTAGGACATAGCAGATCCATCACATTTATTACTTCAGAAAAAAAAGAAAACTTAAAAGAATAAATAAAATCTACTGACTTTCTGGAGTATAATGTATAAAGTTTTACGCAAAGAAACTATTTAATATAAATTAAAAAGTAAAGGAGAAATGATGAAAAACAGTATGTAAACATCCAATATATTTCACTCATTTTTACCCTCTTAAGCTGGAATCTTTTTTTTTTTGGAAAGGTTTTTGCTATAGGGCGTGTGCACTCGCCAGACAGACAGAGAGAGACAGAGAGACAGAAAGTGAGAAATCATCCCCTAGGGGGGATGGCCATGCCGCAATCCCTTCTCCTCCATTCTCTTCTTGGGATCTTAGGCACGCACACACACATGCCCAGAATGAGTTTTAAGCCATCCGGTCCGAGGATGTGAACCGTGGTCAACTACATGGGAGTCCAGCGACATAGCCATTACGTTAACTGCTGGTCCCAAAGTTGGAATCATTTTATACTTCGCATGACTTCCCCTAAGGAACTAAAGAGAAATGGCAACAAAGGTTGAGAAGTGAGGCCACAGATATGTAGGAAATAACCAACTCTTACTTTGCAATCCATTCTGCAGAGTTTTCCTTCTTGAACGGTCAGATCTCCAGGAGCCTGCAAGAAGTGAGGTCTGAAGAATCGCTCCTGAATTGGTTCGTTTTCATCTCCACTGTCCCTTGACCTAGAACGAGGCCTTGAAACAAGACAGAGGAAAAACAGATGGACAATAGTTATTTCTAGGCTTTTAGTCATCTATTTTCTGAAAGTACGTGGAGTAATAACCTACCTATCTGATCCTTACCCCCAAGATTTTACACATTCAAAAAAAATTGTTTTCCCATTCTGAAGGCTGTCGATTCATGCAAATTGCTGTGTCTTTTGCCATGCAGAAAATTCTTAGTCTGATGTAATCCCACTTGTCTATTTTTGGGATTAACAACTGTGCTTTGAAGTTTTTGCCTACTCCAGTGTCTCCCAGAGTTTCCCCAGTGTTTTCCAGGGGCAGTTTTATAGTCTGAGGTCTTAGATTTAGATCTTTGACCCACCTTGACTTGATTTTTGTCAAAGGTGACTGTGGCACTTATACTCTATGGAATACTATTCAGCCATAAAAAAGACAATAAAACCTTGGTTTTTGACAGAAAATGGAAGAATATGGAAGATTTACTGCTGAGTAAACTAACCAACCTATGAAGAAGAGACATTGTATGTCCCCACTTAATATATACCGAGTGTCTGCACTCTATGACTGAAACTTATGGACTAAAGGATATAGAAACATAGTAAATGGATGTGAATACCAGATATAGTGTGTGTAAAAGAGAAAGGTCTGAGGAAGGACATTTAGAAGAAAAATAGGGAGACAAAGCATTAATGGAACAAAGAAATGTGGTATTATCTGTTGAAGATAAATTTATAGTTTTGTCAAATGGACTAGGGAGAAATGTTCACATGTTGAAATATTCACTTTGTAAGCTAAATAATGTGATGGAATGTATAAAAGAAATTTAAAAATTAAAAAATTAAAAAGAAGATAAAACAAATCATGTTTAACTTGGAAGTTCACTATAAGTTTGATAGTCTGTTAATGGCAGACTACTGTAAATCATAAAAGGAAGTGGAAAAAAATGGGATACTACATATGAACATATTTTAAAGCTTTATGAAAAGTAGCAGCAGCTGTTCATTTATTTATTACTGAATCTTTTTTCAACAGAAATTACTGTACCTTTCCATCCACTGTGATTTTACATTTCTAGGAAATTAAAAGTTCTTATACTTTATAATAGTTTAATACATTTCTAATCAAAATCCCTTTTCCTATTAATCAGGAAAATAAATTACACTTTTAAATAAGTTTTTTCCCCCATTTATTATCCATGTGCTTAAAGACATATTTCTGCTTTAAAATAAAATGTTGCAAATTTGTTAGATTTTGTGCATCTCTCTTACTTTCACATATGTTGCTGGAGGAACCTTTAAGGGGAATACAAATTACATTAATTGACAGGGAAAACTTAAGACCAAGATGTTGAATAAAATTATTTAGAAGATAAGTTTAAAAAAACTTAACAAAAGAAAAGGCAAGAGTAGAATGAGTGAAAGATTAATACACTAGGCTAATTAACTAGCCTTTTAAAATAGTTATCTTTTCCAAGTACAGATCTGATTTATGAGAAAAATGCTTTCTAGGACCCTGACATGGAAAAACTGAAATGTAGTGAAGACCACAGGAAAAGCAGAGAAGAGTGATGAAAGACAGCAGACTTAACACTCAGTACGGTGTGTTTATAGCTACAGACACAGGCCTCAAGTCCCGTGGACAGATGCTGCCACAACAGGGTTAGAATGAAATCTGCACACGCCGAGGTGCCAGAATCATCTTCCAAGTGCTGAGCAAAGTGCTCTGTGAACCCAGTCCCATGAGGACATGTAGACCTACCACTGGTCTGATGCTCACTCAGAGCTTCTGCTCACCCTCTTTGAGCCTGTGTGTTCTATTTACGTTTGCATTTAACAAGGCAGAACTATAAACGATCTGAGTAGGAAACCAAGCTGATAGGCCAGTGGACTTACTGTGTTCTTTTTTTAAGTGCAAATACGTTACTAAGAAGTAATACCCCTTTTCTGTCCCTGTAAACCACACTATTCCTTCAGCATCCTCAGGGCCACCAGGGATGGAAAGCAGCCTCTGTTGTTTACAGATATCTGTTTGAGCATTTAAAATGTGACATATTTTACTTACAAGATCTTAAAATTATTTATTTATTTATTTATGTAGAGGAAAAAAGTCATTTATTCAGTAAAAGTGAAAGTACACTCCTGAGAGGTGGGACTGGGTCTGAATGGACAAAGAAAGTGGCTTAGAGGCCTGGTCTTGGGTTTTTAACTAAGTGATAGAAAATGAATTAAAACTAGCTGGTTTTAAGAAATATAGTGTTGGGCTGGCCTCTCAGCCTAGTGGTTAAGGGAGCTGGATCCCACATGGCCAGCCATGTGGTTCGAATCCTGGCCCCAGGAGCTTGAAAAATACATCAGGTGTGCATGCATCTATGCAGGCATGGAGAAATAGGAGAAAAAGGACTGCAGCACGGCCACACCTCCTTGGGCGATGGTGCTTTATCCTTTGCCCTGTCTTTCTCTGGTGAGCACACACATACAAAATCTAGTGGCACTAGCTCACAATGGTGAACCTAGACAGCTGTGGGTTAGAGAAGTTTGGTTTGAAACATTTGTGTACCATTTGCTAGTATTGTCATGTTAATAAGCCATGTAAAGGTGCCCAGTCTTGATTTCTTTCATACAAAATGTGCCCTGTTTAGCAAACCGATGATGTATATCTGAACATCTTAACGAGTCTTTGTTCCCTCCCCCTTTCTGAATCACAAAGGAGTGTAATTATCAAGGAGTTACACACTTCAAGTATTCACATTCTCTACATTTGTGATACTAGGATTCTAACAGTACTGAATTTAGAGTAATAAATAAAACAATAACAAAATAAATAAAATAGTTACACTTCTGGGAAGAAACATCTGAATTACCTTCTGACATGAGGATGTCCTGAGGGAGAGCGGGGACTGCGACCTCTTTGGTTCACAGCCTGGACCATTAGCCGTCCAGTGCAACTGACGCGGCCCTGCCATGGCCAGCCATGTGGTTCGAATCCTGGCCCCAGGAGCTTGAAAAATACATCAGGTGTGCATGCATCTATGCAGGCATGGAGAAATAGGAGAAAAAGGACTGCAGCACGGCCACACCTCCTTGGGCGATGGTGCTTTATCCTTTGCCCTGTCTTTCTCTGGTGAGCACACACATACAAAATCTAGTGGCACTAGCTCACAATGGTGAACCTAGACAGCTGTGGGTTAGAGAAGTTTGGTTTGAAACATTTGTGTACCATTTGCTAGTATTGTCATGTTAATAAGCCATGTAAAGGTGCCCAGTCTTGATTTCTTTCATACAAAATGTGCCCTGTTTAGCAAACCGATGATGTATATCTGAACATCTTAACGAGTCTTTGTTCCCTCCCCCTTTCTGAATCACAAAGGAGTGTAATTATCAAGGAGTTACACACTTCAAGTATTCACATTCTCTACATTTGTGATACTAGGATTCTAACAGTACTGAATTTAGAGTAATAAATAAAACAATAACAAAATAAATAAAATAGTTACACTTCTGGGAAGAAACATCTGAATTACCTTCTGACATGAGGATGTCCTGAGGGAGAGCGGGGACTGCGACCTCTTTGGTTCACAGCCTGGACCATTAGCCGTCCAGTGCAACTGACGCGGCCCTGCCAGAGACAGCAGCAAAGACAGTTATTTGCTGTGTAGAACTATTAACCACAGAGATGCTATTTCATAACAAATCAGGGTGCCACCTAAGTAGTAACACCAAGCCCTCTCAGAAAATCACTTTCCCTGGTTAAGCTCCTCAGTAAAAGACCTCGGGTGGCAAGGTCTGTCTGGGAACTGTTCAATAAGCTTTAGTGTTTTATTCAGAATGATCTTTAAAAAGGCAACGCTCGTTGAATTCATTGTAACCAGTGAAGGTCTCCCTAACACATGCGTTGAGTCACGAATTACAGCAGGTGGACATTACTCTCTGGCGATGATTCCATTTTCATGGTCAAATACCTAACTGGAGGTGGCCGGTTCTGAAATCACAATGAGACAGTTTTGATCTTCCATCAGATCTTTTTAGTAATGTATTTATTAAGTGTAGTGACGTCTTTTCCCCAAACCATTTGTTAAAAGAGATTTCAGCATGAGTATTACGTAGGAAGTACACGTGGGCCCAGAGGCGCATCATAACTACACGCCACCATGTTCTCATGAAATGCACATTTTTGAGACTGAAAACCAGGAATAGTTACATACCTAAAATAGATAAATGGGTCACATGATCAATGTCTAGCTAATGAAAAGCTACATTTTATCTCTTAAATTTGACAATTAAAGTTTGAAAAACGCTGTTATGTGTATAGATAAAATAATACCTAGGGAACCCAAATGACATGTTAAGTCACTTGTTACTCTGGCTTTTTTCCAGCCCTATCTCTTAATATTTTCCTTCACTGTCACGAGCAGAGTAGCAAAACAGATGATTTACTCCTTCACTTTCTCCTCTCCTCTCTCAGGAGAATGAGCAATGCCCTTCTAAATTCTTTTTTTTTTTTTTGGAGAGGTTTTGTTATAGGGTGTGTGTGCTTGCCAGAGAGACAGAGAGAGACAGAGAGACAGAAAGTGAGAAATCACCCCTCGGGGAGGATGGCCACACCACAATCCCGTCTCCTCCATTCTTCTCTTGGGATCTTGGGCACACATGCACACGTGCCTGGCCTGAGTTTAAGCCACTGGATCTGGGACTCAAACCGTGGTCAACTAAATGGGAGTCCAGTGACATAGCCATTACTTTAACTGCTGGTTGCAGCCCTTCTAAATTCTAAAAATGGCCAAAAAATAACAGCAAGATGAGAAAAATGAGAAGCAGATGGTGAATTCCAGCTCAGGGCTGATGAGCAGCCCTCCGGCACACTTATGTCAAAGTTCTACACTTTTCATTGCAAGTTGTCAGTAAAGGCAGTAGCAGAAGCAGGAGTATTCTGTGTTTTGAAGAAATGCTTTCCAGCTGAGAGTGGGCTTCAGGGGTGGAGAGAAGGAGTACAGAAAAAACCCTTAGCAGGATTCAGTGAAGGGCAGGAATCCAATAGGTGGGGCCAAAGCCTGAATTTCTTTAGGGTTATAACCACCCAGAAAAGGCAAAGATACATAGGATTGTAACACAGATAGGAGAAGAATTAGGAAATACCAAATAGAGAGAGGTAGTCACAAAAAAATAAATGTAATGAATCTTCTAGCACTAGAGAGGTGACTCCCGTAAACTTAATCTTACAGCACTACATAGGAGACTCCCTCTAGCACTGAGATCAGATTACAACACTGTCTTCCTGAAAATTTCCAAGGAGAGATGAAGTATAACAACATGATGAAGAATTATTTTCTTTCTTTCTTTTTTTTTTTTTTTGAGAGAGATTTTTCTCCTATAGGGCATGTGCGCTCACCAGAGAGGCAGAGAGAGACAGAAAGCAAGAATTCACCCCCCAGGGGCAGCAATCCCTTCTCCCATTCTCCTCTTGGGATTTTGAGCATGCACACACATGCACCCGGTGTGAGTTTTAAGCCTCCGGGTCTGGGACTTGAACCATGGTCGACTATGTGAGAGTCCAATGATGTAACCATTACGCCATCTGCTGGTACCTGAAGGAGAATTATTTCTAACTTAGATTAATTGTATCTGAAGCTCAGGCCACTTGATACTGATTCTCTCAGGCTGAGCTCTTGGCAAACTCTTGAGATTCTCTAAAGTAGCTTGAAATCTAAAAAATCAATTTCATCTAACCCTTCCAAATTTATATGCCTGCTATGGAAAAATCTGTGTCTGACTTGCTTAGAAGAGCGCCATTGAAAATGACCCAAATGGGTCATTTTTGGCATTGGCATAATGGCTATGTCACTGGACTCCCATTTAGTTGACCACGGTTCGAGTCCCAGATCCAGTGGCTTAAACTCAGGCCAGGCACGTGTGCATGCGTGCCCAAGATCCCAAGAGGAGAATGGAGGAGAAGGGACTGCAATGTGGCCATTCCCCCTGGGGGGTGTGTGATTTCTGGCTTTCTGTCTCTCTGTCTCTCTCTGTCTTTCTGATGAGTACATGTGCTCTATATAGCAAAAACCTCCCCCTTTCTCCATCCCCCCCCAAAAAAAAGAATGACCCAATTGATACATCCTAGCAGAGGCTTTAACTATTGACATAAAATCCAGGTTTCCTTTTGGAGGTTGAGGACAAGGACGTGTAGGTTTTTGTTTTACAAAAATAACTTCAGTTGTACTGATAGGGAGTATGGCTTCTTTACAAACTGCTCCTGCTTAAGACCATACACACAAATACTGCCACAGAGTAGTTCCTTACATTCCCATATGTAAGGAAAAGGAGTATGTCGGGGCCAGCACGTGGAATGGAGATTAGGGAGCTGGATCTCATATGGCCGACTTCACTGTTTGGGTCCCAGACCTGGTGGCTTGAAAGGCACACCAGGTGCATGTGTGTGCATGCCCAAAATTCTAAGAGGAGAATGGAGAAGAAGGGATTGAGGTGTAGCCATCCCCCCCTGGGGGATGACTTCTTACTTTCCTCTCCCTTTATCTCGGGACCAGTAGATGGCCTAATGGCTACATTGTTGGACTGTCATGTAGTCGCCCATGGTTCGAATCCCAGACCCGGTGGCTTAAAATCACGCCAGGTATGTATGCGTATGTGCCCAAGATCCTGAGAGGAGAATGGAAGAGAAGAGATTGCGGCATGGCCATCCTCCCTGGGGGGTGATTTCTTGTTTTCTGTCTCTGTCTGTCTTTCTGGTGAGCGCATGTGCCCTATAGCAAAAACCTCTTCCTCCTCAAAAAAAAAATCCTCTTCCTTTATCTCTGTTTCTGGTGAGTGTACATGCACCACGACAAAACTTAAAAAAAACAAAAAAATAGGAAAAGGAATATGTTAACATTTGTCCTCCATTTCTGTGTCAGCCTTCACTTCTGAAATATGAAGCTGGAAGGCAGGGTCTTCAGGAAGCAGAAGAATCAGTTTGATTTAGCATCTATTGGTTAAATGTATTACTCACCAATACATGATCAGGAGCATTTGGAAAACATCCAGACTAAGAAGTTCTATGATTTTGACATTTTTATTTAAAAAAAAGAGTCTAGAATTCAGTGAAGCATTTTTTGGAAGATCCCTCCAGTGAGTAACTTGGAAAGTTCAAATGTCTAAGTCCAAACTCATTTATGAGAAAGATCATAAAGAATTAGTGTAAAATGATTTTAATCATATAAATGTGCCATTAACTCTGGTAAGCATCCTAATTAGTAGGCTCTGATGCATATTACTGCTTTTGCATTTGCTTTGATTAACTTTCTCATTTCTGTCTGCTTTATTATTAACACATGAAGTAATAATGGAAGTGAATGTTTAAAGTGAAGCTTGAACTAAGCCAGGAAACCTCATGATGCCAAAACAAAACAGAATCAACAAACAAACTTTTTTATATTTAACTCAGCTGTGGGTTATTTTTCTAGTCCAAGCAAATCCACAGTTTTAAAGCTATAGTACAAATAAGAAGTCTGAACTCAGACTGATTCTGTATTAAGCAGCCAGCTTGTAAAGATTATTGTACAAGGCCAATTATTTACATAATATGGAAATAACATTTATATTTCATAGCTTTTGAAATTTAACTTGTGGCACACAGGTCCTTATGAAAGCTCACCACTTGTATACATAATGCAGTTTGAGGAAGCATCAAACTGCAAAACAGCCATTCCAAAATCCAAGTGCAATACAAAGTATCCTAGCAACACAACAAAACAGAGGAAAATATTCATGTTTAGATTTAGTTGTGTCTTAAAGATGGGATTAGAGTCTAAAATAAACCGTGTTTGTGATGTTCGTTTTGGCATTAAGTTTGGTCTAACACTGCACAATCACTCATTATCTTGCTAAACTATGTGGCTGCTTGGGTCTCTTATGAATTGCTTGAGCTGCACACACTGAGTGTGGTACACAGGCCAGAGCGTGGAGACAGCCGTGTGTTCTATCCCAAACAGGATTTGGATGCCGTCAACAATATCGAATGTGTTTCTTATTCCCCCAAGATGAACCCAGGTGGAAAAACAGCAGATTCTATAAAATAGCTCGTGGAACTGTAGTATTTTCCTCTTTCCTTGGTTTTCACCCTTCTCTTGGCCACTTTCTGTAATGATTTTCCACCGCTCAGGGAAGCTGTCGTCTGTGTTTCATTACCAAACTGATTTTTCCACTCCAGCCTTTTCCTCTTTCCCTTGGTCATTTCACATCATGTAGGCTACAGTGTACTAGGAAAAAAAGCTGATGTTGTCCTCTTTCAAACCAAATATTTAAAAATGTGGAAAAACATTTATGGTAACTAGAGGGCATTGAGGAACCGAAATCTGTCAACTGCTCTTTATGCTATTGTGATTAATATATCTTGAAAGGTTTAGCTTTTACTATTAGTTTTTCTTAGTGCCTATATATGACATGCCTCTTTTAAATCACGTTCTAATTCACAAACTAAGGATAACAAAATACTTCAGTATATGATAACAGATGTTATGGAAGTTGAGATTTATGACAGTGCTGAACATTTCTATAATGCTACTGCTATAGCACAGATGATAACTTGGGACAAGGGTTAGGTAAAATATGGTCTGTCACTTGTCT